CCCCACACTCAGGGCATTCGTGTGGGGTTTCTGACTACTGAAAGGCAAGACCTTTTCCTTCTGGGGCTCAGTTTCCTCAGCTATTGCAAAGAGGACAGGCTGGATGCTCTGAGGAGCGCCCTCTGGGTTCTGTAACGGGCTGGGTGTCTCAGCAGCCCCGCCCCCTTCCTGGCCTTGCTGTGGACACTCTAGCTTGAGGAGCAACTGTTTGGCCCATGGCTTCCTGTGTTCCCCTCCAGGCCCCTGCCTGCTTGCACTTCCTGGCTCTCTGCCAGGGGCTTACCAGCCCACCAAGGCCTCCAGACTTGCCCCTCTGCGTATCAGTAGCCCCTCTCAGAGCCCAAGGGCCCTCTGTACCCCTCACACCTGGAGGCCTGATAGCAGTTTCTGCAGCTGGGAAAATAAAATCTTGTCTTTTGGGACAGTGGGCAGGAGTGGGAGAAGGGGATAGGGGTAGAGTACACCGTGCACACACCTAACACACCCCCAGTGGGCTATAGAGTGGTTCCCTGGCCTCCAGAATAACCTCCTTCTGCAGCTGCCCAAGAGGAAAGGTAACTACCAGTATTGACTTTCTTTGCCTGGTTTTGGCTTGGCCACCTTCTCTGTTTGGGGTAGGGAGGGAGCTGAGCTGGTGAAGGGAGGTAGACCTTGGTATTTGCTAAAATGTTGTGATCTTGAGCTAAGCAACCTCCCTGCCTCAGTTGTCCCATCTGTCAACTGGGGATATCCAGAAAGGGGAAGGAGAAATCATACCCAGCAGAAGCTGTGGGAGGGGGTTTGCTTCCTAGTCTGTTTAATTGATGATAGTCTGGGTGATGCGCTCTGGGGGTTATAAATGCGCTGTTCGGATCTGAATGTTAGAAGAGAATAATAAATAGCTAACTTTATGTAGCATTTTCTAAGTGTGTTAAACACTTTACACCTATTTACTTACCTACTGTAATTCTCAGAACAAGCCTGAGATCTTTTTATCCTTCCTACGGATGAGGAAACCAAGGCGCGGACAAACAAAGTGGGTCCCAGGCGGCTCTGGCGTGTTCAAAGCCAGGCCTTCTGCCCCCAGCTGGCTCTTCTTGTTTCTTTTGCTTTACTTCCGAACATCTGGGGTGGCTTCTGTCTCTGTTTCCTCCACCTGGGGACCCAGAGTCAGGGCAGCTGGGGGTCCTGGAGTCTGGACAGATAGGGACCTGCCCACTGGGCATGGCTGTGCCCTGAGCTGGGCAAGAGTATTGGGGGAGACGCCTGGAGGGAGGAAACTGGGCTGTGCCTGAGCAGGAACCCAGAACCCAAAGCTTGCAGGTGGGGTGGGAATGGGCAGCGCAGCCAGAGGAACGCCTGCGCCTGGGCCTGCCTGCCGGCCTGTCCCCGGCCTCCTGCCACGGGCATGGTCCACACAGCCGTCCTAAGCCCAGGGTCAGCAAGGGCTGCCTGCCCACGCACAAAAGGGTCAGCTGCTTCCCTCACCCCTGGTCACTCTGGGGCTCAAGCATTTGTCATTTTGGGCTCTAGGGAAAAATGCGGTTCCAGCCTCTAAGTCCCCTCCAGTGTCCATCACATATACTCACTCTTGCAGAGCCATCTTACCACCTGAGGGGGGAGAGCGGAGGGGCTAATTCTGGGCTAAATGGCAGGCTTCTCCACTCATTCGACAGACGTCTATCGAGCGCCCACTATACACGGGGCACTGCTGAGTACTAGGCATCCCTGGGACATGTGACAGTAAAAACGTCCTTCTAGATTCTGTTGCCAAGGACCTGCCTCCTCCTCTCAGCATACTTCCAGTGCCCGCTTCCTTGGGTCAGTTTCACTCACCTCTGCACAAGGAGGGAACCCAGGCAGCCTCCAGCTCAGCCACTCGCTGTCTGTGCTGCTTTGATCAAGTTATTTATCTTCTCAGAGTCTCAATTCACTCACTCATCCTGCAGATATTTATTGATCACCCTATGTGGAACCTACAGTCTAGCAGGGGGAGCCAGGCAATGGCAATGCCCTTAATAAGCAGTTGCAGTGTAAATTATGTTAGGAAGCAATTCATCCTGTGAAGTAAAAGGAGGTGCCCAGGAAGATAAGGCAGATTGGAAGTGGAGGCAGGGGACTGCAGCGGTAGGGTGGCCTCACTGAGAAGGGACAGTTGAGCCATGGCTTGAAGGTGGGGAGGGAGAAAGCCTTGCAGGTATGTGGGGCTGAGCACTCCAGGCAGGGGGCACAGCTAGAGCAAAGGTCCCAAGATGCCATGAGCCTGGCCGTGGGGCAGCATAGAAAGGAGGTCAGAGTGGCTGAGGTGCCCGCTCTAGTGGGGAGGCTCCGGGGGACACAAAGAAATAGTTTGTTCAATGGAGGTAAGTGCAAAGCAAAAACTGGCGTCATCAGGGAAAAGACAATCATTCTGGACCCCACCCCCCAGGGGCCATGCGTGCTGAGAGCTGCCCTCCGGGTCCCCTCGAGCTCTGGTCCTTGCTCCCAGTCACTTTTATTGTTCTGGATTTGTCTGCGTGTGATTTGTCTCCAAGACCAGGGACCGTGTCCTGCCCCGTGAACCAAGCCTGCCTGGATCCCTAGAGGTGGTTGGTACCTATTACAGACAGGCTCCAGGCTGGTGCAGGATTTCTGGTTGACCAGAACGTGGGTGCCCTGCCTGTGCCCTCCTGCCTCCTCACGAAGGTTTCCCAGTTCCTAAAGTGGCAAAGTGAAAGGAACACGGGGGCAACCTAGTGAGCTGAATGTAGGCTAAATGGAGTCCATGTTTAAATTCTGAGGTGATGAACTTCCTACTCTTACAAAATGTCCTTTTCTGAACTCATGACAGCAGTTGATGGTAATTGTTTATAGTCTTGACAAAATTTAAACTTGGCAGCGCTGTATTAGCACCTCCCCCTATCTTTAATTTTTTGGGAAATGTTTCTTTCAGCCTTAGCCCAAAGCCTGGGAACCACTGAGCTATGTGTGCCTCTGCTGGACAGATATGGGAACTGTGACCCCAGGAGGTGCCTGGTTTGTTCAGGGTCACAGACAACAGTTCATTGTCCTACTTTTGGTCAGAGAATGGGGCAGGGGCGGCACTGGAGAAGAACTGTGAGGCGGAGCCAAGAGGAAGGGACAGAGCCGGCCAGGAGTGGGGAGCCTCCCAGGCTGAGGAGAAGGGGTCTTGCTGCAGCTAAGTGGAGGCAGCCCCAAGTGAGGCTGTGGCCAAGCCAGCTGGACCCCGCAAGTCCTGGGGCTGTTCCTTCCCAGGCTGCTGGAGGCACAGGTCCTGGAGTCTAACAGGCCCAGGTTCCAAATCAACCAAAAGCCAGGGGGCAATCAGTGCAACTCCCTCCAGTCCAGAGAGGGCAGCCACGTGGGCAGGTGGGTTTCTTCTCTGTCAAAGGGTGCCGAGTTAGCAAGGAGGAGCTTGACCCCTGCAGGAATCATATTCTGCCTCACACTGTAACCATACCCCTTGCTTATTGAGAGCTGGTGTTTGAGCCTGGCGCTAAGTGTTCGCAGTGGGTTATGCCCATTGAGGGGCAGGTGCCCCACGAGGGGGTATCCTGTGCCCATTTCACAGCTAGCAGGGAGGGGGCTGAGATCCAAACCCAGAGTCTTTTATTGTCATTCAGGATCTTGTCATTCTCCTCGGCCACTTTAAGCCTCTTGGGGGTTTATGTGACAGATTGGCAACGTAGTGATTCCCTGGCTGAGGATACGGAGAGACATCAAGTTGGTTATCACTTAATGGGAAACAGCAGGAATTTAGAAACAGATCAAGTGGTTGACACAGATAACATTTAACATCATTTTAATCGTGGCCTTCGTATAATCTTAGGATAAGGACCTTGTTTTATTCACCTCAGCCCCACCTGCTTCCTTGATGCCTAGAGCAGAGCAGTATACACTGTTGCTTCAGAAACTGTTGCTTGAATGAATGAATGGAAAGCAATGCCCATGTCTGATCGGCTCAGTAATGAGAGCTAGGTCCAGAAGAGAGGGGTTTTTCAGAGTCCAAGGCTAGGATGGGGACTCTTTACCATTTGAGTACAGGTTCTGGGGCTGCTTGAAGATCAGCAACAAGGCAAGTAAGATAACCTGGCACTGTGCCCAGCATAGCAGGTGCTTACTAATCGGCAGCTTTTCGTTTTAAAGCCAGAGGAATGCCTACTATCTGCCCATCTTTAAGTGTCAGGGTTAAGGATGCAGGCTGTGAGTGAGATGGAGCTGAGCTGAATCTCTGGTGTGCATTCCCTCATCTGTAAAATGGGAGAAATAATAGCAGACCTCTTGGGCCCACTGGGAGATCTGAAGAGATCATGTGGGTAAGTGCTTCATTCTGGAGGCTGTTTTAGTTCCCACACCTCCCTGCCTCCCCACTGCCCCCGCCCGGTTCTGAAAGGACTTGAGTCTCTCCAAGCATCTGAGGGTAAGGTGAGCCCTGTTTTACAGAGGAGACACAGGTGAGAGGGTAAGTGACCTCCCGGGCAGTGTACGGTCATTTTCTGGCTAAAGCAGAGACTAATAAAAATACAGTAGCTGCTGTTTATCGAGTACTTGCTCTGTGCTGTGAATTATTCACACACACTCCTTGGATTCTCATACAAACTCAAGAAGTAGCTCTGATAATTATACCCCTTTGGCAGATAAGTCAATAGAGATCCAGAGAGGAATTGACATGCTAGGGTCACACACTGAAGAAGTTAGTGCTGCACCAGGTGGCTTGTCTTGGGGATCGTGGCTTCACGGGTCCCAGAGCCAGGGAGCCCTGGAGGGAGGCCCAGGCCCCTGCACTGGTAATTCAGAGGCTGACTGAAGGTGTTTAGTCTCCTAGTGCAGACCCTCCAGGCTTCCTTCCCACAGAGTGGACTCTTCAGCTCTCCCTCTGAGGGTTGGTGGGAGGATGGCAGCCATGCCTGGCCAGGCCCAGCCACCTGGTGGGAGAGGGCAGCACTGAAGCAACGGGCCTGCCTGCTGGTAAGTTCTGCCTGCTGACTCCTTAACTCAGCACTGGCCTGTCATCTCTGCAGGAGTTTCTCTGTGACCAGAAGTACAGTGATGAAGAGAACCTGCCCGAAAAGCTTGCAGCCTTCAAAGGTAAGCCGTGGCTGCCACGACCACCATCTCCCCCACCCCCGACCTCCCAGGACAGCTGGCTGGCCCTCTGCCTGCACCCCGCACGGGGCCAGGCTGCACCCTCCTTTCATCCAGAATACCTCTTTTACTGTCAGACTGTGGGACAAGGTGCCCAGCCAGGGGACACGGGTCCTCCCGCTGCCTCTGCGCCACTCCAGGCCCTCTCCCGCCTCGCCTGCAGGCCCCAGCCTGTCCTGCCCCTCTCCCCCCTTGCCCAGTGGGCTTCAGGTTGGCTCCTGGCCACTGCCGCCCAGGTCCTGCTCACTCCCGGGGCCCCAGCACACAATCTGCTCTTTGTAGCTGCCCTTGCTTCTCCCCCTTCCTGGTGGAGCATCTCGGGAGCCCCTGTGGAGAATGGACATTTGTGTCACCACAGTAGGGCAGGGGGCAGAGTTTCTGCCCATTGAATCCCAGCAGCACGGGATGAAAAGAAAACAGAGCCGGAGGCCACGCGGGGAAGGGGCGGCATAAAGATCCCTCTGTTCTGGGCTCTGGCACTTGGTTCCCAGCCAGCAGCTCGAAAGGAGAGGAGCCATGCACATAAGGGGCAGGACAGGCCCACCCTTCCTGCCCGGGAGATGCCCTCGGGGTACAGGGGGCCCTGGACATGCTGCGGGACTGCGGCACAGATCCTCAGCATCCCTGCTCCAAGGCCAAGACCTGCCAAGTACTCCTGACGCTGCCCACAGCTCAGCTGCCTGCAGTAGGACACCGACCCCCGCGCATCTGCTGAGCAGGACTTTGTGGGGAGCACTTCAAAAGCTGGGCTGTGAGCATCCTAAGCAGCCCAATCCTGTTAGGAGGGAGAGGGCACGATCTTTAATTTAGTGATGAAGAAACTCAGGCTCAGGGAGGTGGGGTCATTTACCTGGGGTCACACAGCTCCCCTGTGACAGAGTTGGGGCTTGAACACGTATTGGTCTCACTCCAAAGCCCCTGTTCTTAACCATTAGGCAGCAGTGCTTTTTACATTTAAAACAAAAAAAGAACAGAACAGAACTAGAACAAAGACACCCACCCCAGTCCCACGCCCACCCCACCTGAGCTGCCCGTGGGAGAACGAGGAGAAGCCGTCCATTCCCTTCTCTCTGGATACCTATGGGTCACTTGTCAGCAGTGGCTCTGGGAGGAGGGACAGAGGTCTCGGGAGTCTAACATCCACTCCCCCTGTCTCCACTGGGATGTAGGATTGGGTCTGTCGGGTGGACTTGGACCCCAAGGCTGCTACCTTGGAAGTCTTCATTCAGATCATTCACTCATTTGACCTCCCAATGAGCACACTTACCCTTCCGGGCCTGGGGATACACAAGCTGGCCACTGCCTAAAGCAGCCTGTGTTCTAGCAGGGGAGCAGACAGCGACGAGAACTCACAGCAGCACAAAGCAGTCGGGGGCGCAGTAGGTGCTCTGCGGGGGCGGTGGTGCCGCTAGAAAGGCGGGGGGGCCCTGAAGGCATGAGGAGGGGCCCCGAGAATACCTGGGAGGAACATTCCAGGCAGAGGGGCTGCCAGCCCTGAGCAGGAGCAGGTGGGGAACAGGTGGGAGCGGCAAGACCAGCGGGAGTGCAGCCGAGGGGCTGGGGGAGAGGTGGCCTGGGAGGCGCAAGGTCATGGCTTTCTCGTGGTGGCTGCTCCTTGTGTAGTAGAGGGTGCTGTTCTGTGGCAGGAGTGGGTTCTTCCTGCCCAAGGCTGCACGGCCTGCTTGCACGCACAGCCCCTGTGGGAAGACAGTAAGCTCATTGCTCCCTTACTGTTGGAGGCTCCGTGGACCCCCGTGATCAGGGAGCTTTAGCCCCAAGTCTATTGGTGAGGTTTTCGGGGCGGCCTGTGGACCCCTGGGCACTACACCTTGTGGTCAGGGGCAGGTCCGTGGGCCTTTCTTCCAGCAGAGCAGCAGATTCTCACTGGTGCCCACAACACCCCAAAAGGTTCAGAACCACAGAAACTCCTTAAACCTGCGATTCCCACACCTGGCTGCCATGAGAATCACTGAGATGCTCTGAAAACACGCCAGTCCTGCCCCAGCTCCATCCTTCCCAAACCCACGGAATCGGCATCTCCAGGGCCAGAAATCTATTCTAGTCACTTTGCAGCCAATTCGGATGCAGCCAGCCTGCACTGCTGGGGACGCGGGAGGAAGCAGCTGTCTTCCTCTGCAGAGGGTCACAGTGGCCCCCTGGGCACCTTTCTCCATGGCACCCATGGGAGACGGTGGGGAGGGGTGCAGGCAGGTTGAACTCTTTCTCCAGAGAAAATGGCGTGGGGGCGAGGAGGACGGGGCGGGTTCCGGTGCACCTAGCCAGTCACACAAAAGGAAGTCACCGAGGCCCTGTGGGGACAGCCCTGCTTCCAAGCTAATGCCACTTCCACTCTGTGATTTCCAGAGAAGTACATGGAGTTTGACCTGAACAACGAGGGCGAGATTGGTGAGTGAGGCCTTCCTTGAGTGGCCTGGGGGAGGAGGGTGTTCTGCGGGTAGAGGGCGTGAGGATCCAGGGAGGGAGGCCCACCAGGGGGCGGGTGGGAGCCGCGGGGAGGAGCACACACGGGAGCTTCCGTGGTGCGCAGGCCTGGCCAAGCCGGCCACGACCCCTTTGCCTCGGGCCCTGATCCACTGACCGACTCCTCTCCCCATTCATCCCTCCGCCAGCCTCACCCCCCTGAGCGCTACAGGACGCGGGACGGAGGGTGCTGCCTCTGCCTGTGGCTGGAGACGCTCAAGCCCTTGATGCCCTGGCCCAGGGGGCTGGTGTTTCCTTTGTCCCTGGACCTGTCCATCCATCTGTATGCTGTCCTGCTTGTCACCTGACAATGTCCCCTCTTGTGCCTTGATTCTTTCTCCAACAGACCCATATTGTGTCCTGCCAGCCAGGTGCTAGGGTGACAAATGCCTGTCCCATGGCCTTCATGTTCAAAATCATGTCTTGACCTTCACCACGATGCTATGGCATGGTTGAGATGGGTTTACTTATCCCTGTTGTACAGATGAGAAACCGGGACTCCGAAGGGTGAATCACTTGCTTGGGGCATGTGGTCACTAAGTGGCAGGCGCAGGCCCAGACCCCAGCCCTTGGTTTCCATATGGGTATCCTCCCCCCTTTCACCCCAAATGTTCAGTGTGGCCACTGTCAGCATTTCCACTCCTCTGTCTTCGCTTCCTCTTCTCCCTTTTGAATACTTTCCACCACCACCACCCTTTTTTTAGGAAAAGAAATTGGGAATTATCAAAGATGCTGAAGAGCATCTTTGTACATGAATCTTTGTCCACATCCCTGATTATTTCTTTAGAGTAAATCTCAGGAATTAGACACACATCCCTGATTATTTCCTTAGAGTAAATCTCAGGAATTAGCAATTTTCATCATTAACAATTTTGGAAAGGGGTTTGGAATAGGGTGTCAAAGTGTTCCTGCTATATTCCCCTGCATCAATGGATATAACCTGGCTCCTTCTTATCCAGTAATGGGGGGAAAAGGGAATAGGGGTGGATACGACAGCTGCTCAGTCTTCCCTGCCCACAGCCCCCCACTGCCTGGATGCCTGAGGGGGTCCAGAGGCTTGGGACGCCACCTCTCCAGCCTCCTCCTGGCTCTGCCCTCTGGGTCTCCCTCACCCCACCTTGTCAGTACAATCTTTGCTCTGTACAGTCTCTTTACATGATAAAAAACCCCTTTCAAAAAAAAAAACCAATTTTTTGGAAAGCACAGCAAAGCACAAAGACAAAAATATGTCACCCACGATCCCACCTCCCAAAAATAGCTGCTATAAACATTCTGGTTTATGTCCTTCCACTCTTTGTTCTGATCACAAATGCTGTTTTATATTGTTTTAGAACCTCTTTTTTTTTTCAGTTACATCTTGTGTTTGGACATATGATTAGCTTTTCTTTTGAAATATATTAATGTCTGCATAATATTCCAGTCTGCTGGACTATAAAATTATTCAGCCCATACCCTAGTATCATCCATTTAGATGATCTCCAGTTTTAATTATGATTGATAATCCCTGAAGAGCATCTTTGTACATGAATCTTTGTCCACATCCCTGATTATTTCTTTAGAGTACATCTCAGGAATTAGACATTCTGGGTCAAAAGCTTTTGTAGCATCTTTCCAAACTACTTCCAGAAAGGTCTTACTGATGTAGAGTCTGGCCAGCAGTATGTGGTGGACCTTTTACTTCTTCCTGCAGAGCGCTGCCCAGCTTTCTTTGAAATGCCCTGGACATCCTGGCACCTAGGGGCCTGGCACCAGTCCTGCCCACCTCACCACTTGGGTGAGCTGGTGCACCACTCCCCTGGCCCTAAAATTGGGGCCACCATCCTTTGCTGCCCCATTGTTTGTGGAACAATCTGGAGGAAATTACCTCCAATCTTGGAGGCCAGGAGGTCAGAGGCAGCCACTCCTCTTGGTGCGGTGGCTTTTTGGTTCCTCCCTTGTTTTTCTTGAATTTTGCTCCTTTGTTGGTTTTCCTGCTCTGCAGGATATTTTGGCACCCTGTCCCTTCCAGCAAGGAGGTGCCCTAAAGCTGCAGGGTGGGAATGGCAGGTGGAGAGAGCTGCCTCCCTGACCCCACCTGGCTGGGCAGTGACTTGCAGGGTAGCTGCAACAGCAGGCACATGGCTCACCTGAACCTTGGGGAGCCGCCAAGATCACAATCAAGAATTGCAGCTGCATTACTGAGCACCTGCTTTGGTGCCAGGTGCTGCTTGTGCTTTGTCCCTCCCAGTGATCCCATCAATCTATTTTACCTCTGATGGGAGCAGGGGTTCAGAGAGGTTAAGTGGTTTGCCCCAGGTCCCACAACTGGGAATAGCAGAGGCGAATTCCATCCCAAGTCTGATTCTAGAGGCCCGTGTCCCTAACCACTGGTGCACGCTGCCTCCAAAGAGGGCAGGGAAGGCGTGATGGGCTCGTTCTCCCTACAGGAAAAAGGCCATTGGCTGCAGTTTCCTGAAAGGCTCATCCTTCTGGGCTCCTTCTGGGTGTGGGTGCGAGAGGGAGGCTTTACCACCTTCCCCACCCAGCCCCTGCAGTCCAGGTCCACTTATCAGATCTGCTTTTCCTCCGGCAGACCTCATGTCTTTAAAGAGGATGATGGAGAAGCTTGGGGTCCCCAAGACACACCTGGAGATGAAGAAGATGATCTCGGAGGTGACAGGTGGGGTCAGCGACACCATCTCCTACCGAGACTTTGTGAACGTGATGCTAGGGAAACGGTCAGCTGTCCTCAAGCTGTGAGTACCTAGCACCTCTCCCGGGGTCTCGGAAGGCGAGGTCATTGCGTGTGAGAGGCCCCTGGCTCGGGCACCTCAGTCATTCCCCAGTGAGGAGGACCTCATTTTGTCACCTGCTGGAAAAGGTTCTTAATTGCTTTGAACCTGACTTCCTCATCTGTTAAATGGTCGCTTGAATACGTACTCTGTAGACAGAATTAGCCTGTCGCAGAGTAGCTCATAGGATGCGCGCTTAGGAAGGGGCAGCTCTGATGGTGGTGGTGATGACGGTGATACATCTACTGCCGAAACTTTCTGAGCCTCGGTTTTCTCATTTGGAGAGTCACTCTACTACCTCTCAGGGTTGTTGTGAGCATGATAGAGAGGGAAAGACTGCCCTAAAGGGAGGTAAAGTTCAAATCTTGACGTCATTACTTGCTACTGAAATGACCCTGGACAAATTACCTTTGGTTCCTGAGCCCTAGTGTCTTTATCTGTAGGAGAAAGATGATATTCAGTATCTTGTGTGGAGTGTTCTGAATGAGATAACACATATGAAGAGTCTAGCCCAGTGCCTGGCTGATGCAGACAACCAGTGTATTATGGCCAAAATTACATTTCATAGGTACTTTCCCACTGACGAGCTACAGAGAAATTCTGGAAGAATCTCATAGTATATTTCCAGGTTGAAAATGACACTCACTTGGCTTTTATGGAATAAGATTAACTTTTTTCTTAAAAAGCACATATGTAAAATATACCTGTCTCATTTTACAAAGAGGGAAGCTGAGTAACCTGCTCGTGAGCCCACAGCTTGGGCTGGTCAGAGCTGTCAGTGTGGGGTGGGGCAGGATAGGAGGCGTGGTGGAAAGATCATCAAGGTCTTCTGGGGAAAATCATTGCACTGTACCTGAGAGGCCAGGTGGTCACAGTGAGTGTCAGGATGCTATTAAAATGACACCTAAGATTTAGAGACATTTCTGTATGTCAGCCACTGGTCTACATGCTGACTCCTTAGATTTATCATTTATTAATTCAGCAAATATTTATTGAGCACCAACTATGTGCCAGGAATTATTCTAAGAGCCGGGGATATGTGAATTGCTTACCTCATGGAGCTTCCATTCTAATTGCAGGAAACAGACAGAAAACCCCCAAAAATCAAATCACCAGATTGCAGTGGTATAGCGCAAAGAAAAATAAACTGACAGGAGGAAGAGAGAGGGAGGGGATAATGCACAGGGAGGATCTCATTGAAAGGCAACATTTGCCCAGAGTCCTGAGTGAGAGAGACATGAAGAGATGAGACATATGAAGATCTGGGGAAAATCATTCCAGGCAGAGGGAACAGCATGTGTAAAGGCCCTGAGGCAGAGGCATGCTTGCTCAAGGAACAGTACAGCGGTCAGTGTGTTTGAGCCATTAGTGAGTGCAGTGAGTAAAGGATGAGTCTGCAGAGATGGGCAGGGACCAGGTGACATGGGGCCTTGTAGGCCACCTCAAACTTAGCATTTTGCACCAAGTGGAGTACTTAGTCAGGGGCTGACTTATAAAAGGCTCCCTTTGGCTCCCTTATAAAAGGGGTGAGAGTGGCATTCGGGAGGCATCTGCAGGCAAGAGATGAGGCCCCCCAGCTTGGAGAGGCATCAGTGGAGGTGGAGAGCAGGAGCTGGGGGAATCGGGAATAATTTTGGAGGTGGAGCTGGAAGGCTTGCTAAAATGCCCATCTGTGGGGTGTAGAGGAAGATGAAGAATCCGATGGTTCTGGTCTCTTTGGGGCAGAGTATCTGGGTGATGCTGCTCTTTGCTTTGAGGGAAGCACATGGGGAAGGCAGGAATGAAGAGCTCAGCTTTCGACGTGTTGCGCTGGAAGTACACTTAGACATCCAAGAGCAGAGGTTGCAGAAGGAGCCGGATGTACAGATTGGGAGCTCAGGGATAAGCCATTTGTGGACTGTCACCTTTTGGATGGGATGTAAGGCTAGAGGATTGGCTACAGATGGAGCAGAGCAGGGACGCTTGGAACAGCTGTGGGTGTAAACGCTTTCTGTGTCCTCACTTCCAGATGGAAACTACTTCTAGACGGCTACACTACAGCAAAAGGCTGAGGGTCTTGCTTGAATCACCTGCAGGGAATGAGTAGGGCTGGTATTCAAATTCAGGCTGTTTTCCTTCAGAGGGAACCCCTATCCTCTACTCTTTCAGACTTTACTCTCAGAGCATGGGAGGTTTCTAAAGGTCTGAAGGGGCTTTGAGCAGAGCCATGGCCCCGTGTGGCTCCATCGCCTTCAGGCAGTGTGGTCAGGAGAAGGCACCTGGCCTAGACACCAGAGATCTGGAGCCTCGTCCTGCCTTGGTCGGCCTGCGTGGCTCCGAGGAGTCACATTGCCACTTGGCGCCTGTTTTCTCTTCTGCAAATTGGGACTAGCGGCCCCTCCCACTTAGCTGTAATCATGGGCTTCCCAGATTCGTATGGAGAATGGATGCAAGGGTGTTTTGGTGAGGACCCTGCTGATATGAGGGCTGGGGTGATCTTTCCCTGGATGAGGAAAGGAACCCTAATGCTGTCTTTTTTTTTTCCCCTTCATCTCAAACCAGAGTCATGATGTTTGAAGGAAAAGCCAACGAGAGCAGCCCTAAGCCAGCTGGCCCCCCTCCAGAGAGAGACATTGCCAGCCTGCCCTGAGGACCCCTGCCTGGACCCACCCCTGCCCTCCCTGCCCTTGTCGACTCACTGTGATCTATCTTTGTTTTGCTTGGTTGTTTTGCATTTGTTTGTGGGCTTTTCATCAGCAGAATCAGTGATCTCTGTGTAAAGCACAAATTATCTGCCTTAAAGGGGCTCTGCGTTAGGGATCCTGAGCCTGGGTTACCCTCCCTCCCTATTCCCTCCTTCTCCTCTCCCTGTGCAGAAGGGCTAACATCAAACCAAAAACTGGAATGGGGAGGGACGGGGAAGGGGGAAGCCTGTGATCCCCACCCTGGGAGCTGGCACCATCATCCTGCCAGCAGGTCTTGGAGCTAAGTGCAAGCTCAATGGCCTGGCCCTGGTGAGGATCTCAGCCTATCTGCAGGCCCTGGAGTAGGCACACGTCTGCAGGGCCTCGTTAGGATTTTCTTGGAGAGCTCTGAGGTCCCGTGCTCCTGGGCTGCCCAGGATGTGGCTGCGCGGTGTCCCACATCCCCAGCTAATCCCCCTTCAGTCCACACTTCTCCTCAGTGAAGTGATGCAGAGGAGAGAGGCTTGGCAATTTGAGTGCTTCAAGAGTGTTCCAGAAGTAATCCTGTGACCTTGCCATCCCAGCCACACCTTTACCGGCAGCTCAGTGGGCAGGTGCAGCCCCCTGTCCCTTGGCTGGGGCAGCAAAAGGCTTTGGAGACAGTGGAGGCCAGGGGCCTTGTGGGTATGGTGGTCAGCTCATCTCAGGCTGCCTTTTTGGGAGGACGCTGAGGGCAAGAGGATCGGAGAAAGAGGAACAAACTGCTCATGACAAAGAGTCAGCACCGCTGTCAAGCCACGAGCTGGAAATCAGGAGTTTGCCCTTCTGATCCCAATCTGCTCAAAACCCAACTGCACTTCTCCCATTTGCCTGCCACCTTGTGCCCCACCATTCATTCATTCATTCATTGAGTTATTCAGCAGATATTTATTGACCATCTATTATAAGCTTTAAGTCCCTCCAACTTTGTCCTGACGTGCTGTGTCCACTGTCTCTCTCTCATCTGTCCATTTCCAATCGCCCAAAACCTTGAGCTTGGGGATTAGATTAGGGTCACCAGTGTCCTGTACTGTGGACTCACGGGGTTTTAGAGCCCTGATCCACTCTGTAGGTTAGCTGGGCCAGTCCTCTCATTTCACACGTGAGGAGACTGTTGACCTACAGGGATTAAGTGCCTTGTCCAAAGGTGGGGTTAACCTAGAGATGGAAAAGTCTGGACTGGCTCCCAGGGGTTTAGATGCTCTGTCCATGCCTCATCTCCGGTTTGGGCTACTTCAGTCAGTGACGAAATCAAGGGAAGGGGCAGGGAGGGGCGATATCTCCGAGATCAACACTTGGGGAAGGCCCTGGGGCCAGACTCACCCTCCCCCGTGCCTCCAGGGCAGCCTTAGGGTTTGGGTGAGGGCCAGGCCTGTCTCTGCAGTTCTGCCTTCTCTAGACCTTCATGGCCAGGCCACGTCTTAGAACTTGCACAGGAAAGTGTCATATTCAGCCCCATCTTGGCTGAGCAGAGACCCCAGCCTTGACCCCTCCTGTGTTCTGGAGTCCCTTACCCTGTCCACTCAGGATTCCGATGCACCCATCCATTATTTCTTATTCATTAACCACCAGGAGTGAAATGGACAGACTCATGGAATTCAGAGTCCAGTAGAGAAATCAGACCCAGAAAATGACAGTGAGATGAATGTTAGGAAAAGGGCCTATGGGGCAGCTGCACCGCAATCCTGGGAGGTCTAACTGGGCCCAAGCTTGATGAAGAGCTTGGAGAAGCCTTCACCAAACCGTAAGTGGAAAGGTCTGGGTGCTGCTGGAGGTTGGAGCCAGTGTGGTCTCCCTGCAGTCCATTAGCGACCCATAATCAAGGGCCCAAGGAGCTGTTCGTACAGCAGCTTGAGGGTGTGGAGCGGGTAGGGGATGGGGAAATGGCCAGGTTGGGTCAACCTGCTTGTCCCAACCGGTTCAGGAACAAGATTATTCAGCCACGATTTGCTGATCTTCAGCCTAAGGAGCTGCTTCAAATGCACAGAGCCAGTTGAAGTCTAAATCCCAGCAAAACATTTCTCCCTGTAAAAGTAAAATCTCACCCCACCCCCTCTCCTGCCTTGTTTTGTTTATTTTAACCTCTGAAATCATGAGATGAACAATCGCCTGTCCCTATTCCTTCCCACTGCTGCTTCTCTCTGGGACAGGCTGAGACCTTTAAGCAAAGTGATGCCTTCCTTGATTGCCCATCACAGTCAGCGTGCCTGTTCCTTCCTAGAAAGAGGAGAACAACCAGGCCCACTTCGGTGGGTTCTGCCGTTTACAAGACTGCAGGAAGCCTTACCGGCGGAGAGCAAGGGGGTGTGTTTCCAGCCTCCGGACAGGCAAGAGTCTCCTCAGGACAGGGAAGGTCCTGGGAACCCCCACAGTTTCTTCACCATTAACTTGGAGCTCAGCTCCTGGAGAGAGAGGGGCTCCAGAGTAGTTCCTGGAAAGGGGCTCTGTGTGAATTTCAGATTGTGGTTATTGCCTCCAAGACTCATACTTCTTTGGCTAAGGGCTCAGTTTCTTAGAACTTCAGCTGCCGTCTTTCTGAAAGACCAAATCTAGCTAATGTGACCAGCAATTTATGGATGCCAAGTATGGCTTTGTCCCTGTAACTCAAAAGGAAGGACTTTGTCAGGCAAGTTTGAGTGGATGAAGTATGTGTGTACCGGTGCGTGCGTGCGTGCGTGCGTGCGTGTGTGTGTGTGTGTGTGTATGTGTGTGTGTGTGTGTATGTGTGTGGTGACAGACAGCATCTCTACAGACTGGAAATAAAACTTACCACAGTTTTGATTGGTATCTTTTGGGAATGGTTTCTGGGCTTAGCAAATTCAGAAGAATTAGCTAATATAGTAACAGATTGAATGAATGTGTCCTGTGTGTCAGGCTCTGTTAACTGCTGAACTCCATTTACTCCTCACAACAGCCCCGGGAGACAGGTCTATTATGTCATCCTTGCTTTATAAACTGTAGAGCAGAAAAGTAATTTGCTGAAAACCAAATATAACTGGCAGAATATCCTCACTCCCACCCCTAAGCTGACCCATGGGCTCTGTTAAGAATCTCTGTCCTAGAGCATTTGTAATTCCACTAGAAAAATCTCTACGTAGCATTGTGTAGTCAATCAGCATATCTAAATAATTCTAATCTTGCCTTCACCGATTTCTGACTGAGGGGAATCGGGGAATTTTCTAAACTCTGTGCTTCCAGTTACCTCATCAATTAGATGGCAGTAATAACCCCTAGGTGTCTAGGCTGGCTTGGAGATTAAGTAACACATCTGAAGTGTTTTGCGCAGTTTCCAGGCTCTTGCTCTGGAAATGACAGCCTTGAAAGGAGTAGACAAAGCTGATCTTTGGTCCCTTTTGCCTCCCCTTTCAGCCTTGTGCTTAGACACGTCGGGGTCTCCCGTGGTGAGGTCCTACCCGTCCACTTTCTGAACCACGTTTCTTCCTCACACATCCCGCCAGAGCCTCTGTCAAGACCTGCCCCCTGGAAATGTTTGTCAAGTTCCTAAGTTCCAAGTTCTCTGACTCTGTAACTACTAATAACCACTTACATCTAAGGGTTACTGCGAGGTCTCATCGGGACCCGGAGCGTTAAGCGCTCAACGTGAGCAGCCCAATGAATGAAACCAACACAAAGCTAGCGGGGGTCAGTTGCAATAGCAGGGCGGCACCGGGTGGGGGGGGTCCAGTACGCAGGTGCGCAGGCTGGGGGTCGCCCCTTACTCGTCCAGCCGGCCAATAGGAGGCGGTGGCCAGAAGGGCGCGCAGCTTCGGAGGGTCGTTCAACGTCCCACGACCGTGCTGTTCACGGAGGCTCGTGACGTCACCGTAAAGCGCCGGAAATGCAGTGTCGGCCGCGCGCCGCTAGCGGAGAGGAAAGGAAGTTGGCCTCCGAACGGCCTGGACTGAGTGGGCCAGGCCACGGCCACCAGCGGCGGTTCCTTCGACCAACTGAGGGCGGCGCGATGGGAGACGAGATGGATACCATGATCCCCGAGCGGGAGATGAAGGTCAGAGACGGGCCGGGGCCTCCCTCCTTTCCTCAGCTTAGCCGGCGTTGCCTTGGCGCCCCGCCGAACGGCGAAGCGCGGGTGCGGCTGCCCCGCCTCCCGCCCGAGCTGCCTGCCGCGTTCAGTTCTCGCCAGCGTGCCCTGGTCCAGTTCCGCTACCCTGGCTACTTTCCCGTGGTGGTCGGAGTAGTGCTAGTAACTACTGTCTTCTGAGCGTTTACCCTCGTACTCGTAAAAGCAGCCCTATCGAATAGTTGTAAATATAGAGGAGCAAATAGAGAGGCTCGGGAAAAAAAACTTAACCAAAGTCACATTTGACAAGATGGCTGAAGTCCAGGTATTATGTTTTACTTTTATCTTTTAAAGACCCTCTCTTCTTTGCTCTCCGTGTACTACTCCGTAAGGTGGTCCAGGCTTGCCTAATGCAGAGTTAGGGCTCATCACCTATCCACAAAACGTTTGGTTAACCGGAATGGGAGGACTGTTTTGGTACTAGAAATCAGTCTAAAGTCAGGAACTAAAGAGAGGGGCAGGTGGATCCATATGATAGTTATGAACACCAGAGAGAGAGAGTAGGTTACAGGAAGATTTTAGGCCTTTGAACAACGAATCACTGAAATGCATTCAGGGGGTTGTAATCATACCATATTTACAGCAGTAGTGATTCTTCTTGACAGTGCGGGGACTGAGCCATCCAATGAGAGTACACCTGTAGCTCCAGAGGGTTTCAACTCTGGGTTTGGTGAGACCGAAAAATGACAACAGAGTTGGGGGTAAAAGGTCTGACACCAGGCTTTATTCTCGCGGTGGCAGGTCCAGTGCTAGAATCTAGAATCCCGTCCATATCTGTGGATCTGCATCCACATGTAGCAAGTCCACTATCCTGTAGCAACACATACAGCAGTGGCGCATTGCCATCACAGGTGTAAGCATGCACCTGCGCAGTAAGCCCATATTATATCATTGACGTGGGCGGTGGGCAAGTAGATTAGGGTCAGGTGGGCATCCTGGCCATGGGAACTTCCATTTTCCCTACAACACCATATTCCTCAGATATGCTGGGGCAGAAGGAAAAAAAGGTTTTAGACCACAGACTTAGAAGATGATAGTCTGCCTTTGAGGAGAGCTCTCCTGTCTTCATCCCACTGGCTCTCCACATTCATAAGACCATGACCCAAGTAAGGGTATTTGGGATTATCAGGACCAGAATTACAACAAGACTGAAAATTTTATTCTACTCCTGTGTGAAACATGGTATGGTCTCACCTGGAAAGCTGTGTAACTTTCTGGTCACCATATGCGGTTGAAGCTAAAAGTATTTAATCTTCTAGCACTTATAGTAAATGTCAAATCCAAGGAAATTAGTATGCGGGGTATGTTAGGGAACCGGTACGAAACACTGTAAATGTACAAAGATGAAGGCTGAGAAAGGCTCTCTTTGGTTCTTCTACTCTTGGAATGTTAGCAAAAAAGGATTCACATTCTTTTCACCAAAACCTCAACTTGAAGATAGGTTCGGAATTGAAGAAGAAAATAAGCCATAGGAAGTACAGCTTAACGCAGCAGTTGGTACACTTCTGAAACTCTTTTACCAGAAAGTGTACACACGGAAAATTGTCTTTGAAAGCATATAGGTACATTTGTGGACTATTGGATGAGTCAGGCATCGACAGGAGATCAGAAAGGCCCCCTGGCCCTGAGGCACTAAGGAGCCTGAAAATTGCAGGAGATGAAAATGTACTAGTTGGGAGACAGCAGGCTTCAGAGGCTGTGCAGAGGTGATGATGCACTTGTTGGAGGGAAGCAGGGTGGAATGAGTTGAGGCTTCAGGGGCGGGTGGGTCCAGTTGTGCGCGGCTTTATAGCCTGTGTTAAGGGTTTTAGACTTGTGTTTAGATGTTCTCATAGTATCCAGGTATGTTTATAGGCGTTGAACACCAAGAGATTGACCATTTATATCCTTTTCTGTGGTGGAATTTAGTTTACTGTTTGGGATTTGGTTATCTTTCAGTGTCGCTGAATCCATATATGTCTGTTGAGTACTACACTGGCTATTGGAGCTTGCAGTGTAGCTAGGTGATAGCTTTCAATATTGAACAAAAATTTATTAAGCACTGCTCTGTGAGACAATACATATCATAAAATAGGACGAGATTATAAATAATAAACTGCAGCTTGTGTTTAGGTAGTTAGGACAATAAACTTGTAATGCAGAAAAGGAAAAGATCAATGTAAGCTTAATTAGTCAAGGAAGGACTTATGCAAGAATTTTTAAACATTTATTTCACTTAATAAACATTAAGTGCTATGCCAGACATCACAGTACACACAGGAAGCCTAAAAATGACTGAGCCCCAACAAGGACTCAAAATATATAAAGAACTGAGATGCCTCAACACCCAAAAAGCAAATAACCATATTAAAAATGGGCAGAGGGTATGAACAGACACTTCTCCAAAGAAGAAATTCAGATGGCCAACAGGCACATGAAAGTGATGCTCCACATCACTAATTATCAGGGAAATGCAAATTAAGACCACAATGAGATATCACCTAACACCAGTTAGGATGGCCAATATAGAAAAGACTAGGAAGAACAAATGCTGGCAAGGATGCGGAGAAAGGGGAACCCTCCTACACTGATGGTGGGAATGTAAACTAGTCTACCCATTGGGGAAAGCAGTATGGAGGTTCCTCAAAAACCTAAAAATAGAAATACCATTTGACCCAGGAATTCACTCCTAGGAATTTACCATAAGAATGCAGGATCCCAGTTTCAAAAAGACATATGCCCCTCTATGTTTATCGCAGCACTATTTACAATAGACAAGAAATGGAAGCAACCTAAGTGTCCATCAGTAGATGAACGGATAAAGAAGATGTGGTACATATACAAAATGAAATATAATTCAGCCATAAGAAGAAAACAAATCCTACCATTTGCAACAACATGGATGGAGCTAGAGGGTATTATGCTCAGTGAAATAAGTCAGGCGGAGAAAGACAAGTGCCAAATGATTTCACTCATCTGTGGAGCATAAGAACAAAGCAAAAACTGAAGGAACAAAACAGCAGCAGACTCACAGAACCCAAAAATGGACTAATAGCTACCAAAGGGAAAGGGACTGGGGAGGATGGGTGGGAAGGGAGGGATAAGGGGAAAAGGGGGCATTATGATTAGCACACATAATGTCGGTGGGGGGCGGCATGGGGAAGGCAGTATAGCATAGAGAAGACAAGTAGTGACTCTGTAGCATCTTACCATGCTGATGGACAGTAACTCTAAGGGGGTATGTGTTGGGGACTTGATAATGGGGGGAATCTAGTAACCAACCACAATGTTGCTCATGTGATTGTAGATTGGTACCAAAAGAAAAAAAAATAGTATCTAAAAAAAAAAAAAATGAGCCACACAGTCATTGGACTGTGCTGGAATGGGGTCTGTTGGAATGTGGCAGACATGATTTAATTTCCTGTTCTTCCCTGAATTGATCTAGTTTTGATCCCTCACAACAGGATTTTCAGTTTAGAGCACTGAAGAAGGTGAGGATCTTTGATTCACCCGAGGAGTTGCCCAAGGAACGCTCAAGTCTGCTTGCTGTGTCCAACAAGTATGGCCTGGTCTTTGCTGGTGGAGCCAGTGGGCTGCAGGTTTTTCCTACTAAAAATCTTCTTGATCAAATTAAGCCTGGAGACGATCCCAGTAAGATAGGTAATTACTTGCTTTATGTTGCCAAGTAAACGGAGGAGTGTAGTCAAGTGTAGAGAAGTGTGGGGTGATGTAGTTTCTTTTCCAAGAAATCATTCTAGTATTAAAATTAAAACTACTGTTAGTCCTGAGGTGGACCCGCAGGTCTTCTTCTGGGTAGGTCTACTTCTCCTAGGTAGGATGCCGGAAGCCTTTCTGGTTGTCCTCTTTGGTCTTTTGTATTCCTTCTTTCAGTGAGTTGTTCCTTTGAGCTCAAGAGGGAAGAAGAATTTACCAGTCTGTCATGCTTTCATTTTTGCTTAGTTGAACATGGGTTCTGGCTCTTTTGGAGAAGGGTTTTGTTGCATGGTTTTATAGTTGGCACAATAGTACCATCCAGACCAAGGGAAAGTGTACTGTTTGAAACATTGGTGGAAAAATATGGTCCAGGACACTATTTTCAACAAGGAAAACAGCCACACTTAGTTTCCCCAGGTTGTTACTTAATACATCAGTATGCATTTGTAAGAAAGCTGAGATTTATCTGCATGACTAGGTATCAGGGTGTGTGTATGTGTTTCTATAGATGCAAAAATTGTTTCACATAGACCTCGTTAAAGGCATTGTGGCTTTTGTTTGAAACATTACATTTTCTGCTTTGTCTTTTTTTTGTATTTTCATAGTTGAGAAAGTACAAAGCTTGCTAGTTCCTATGAAATTCCCAATACATCACCTGGCCCTGAGCTGTGATAACCTCACACTCTCCGTGTGCATGATGTCCAGTGAATATGGTTCCATTATTGCTTTTTTTGATGTTCGCACATTCTCAAACGAGGTAAGCTACTGGCAAATTGTAGTGGATCCTACGATTTTCTGATATTGAATCTTCACCTGGAAGTTCATGGTTGGCCCTTGAAGTCTTTCTAGATTAAAATGTGGGGTTAAAGAAAGGCCCTAATTATAGAATCATAGATCTTGGAAGGAACTTCAAGAAATTATTTCATAATACCCCTTGCCCCATGTTGTTACAATTTCTCATTTACAAATAAGACATCCAAAGCCCAGGGAGCCTCAGGTGACTTGCCTAAGCACGTGAAGTTAATAGATAACATCAGAAATTCCTGTGTTGTGGGTCTCTGGCTTCCTAATATAGTGTTCTTTGTTCCAAGCAGTGTAGTAACAATAATAGTCAGTAATACTGAGTTTACACTGACTGTGTGCCAGGCCCGCAGTAACGCTTTACATGCCTTGTCCTTGTTCATGCCTACCACAGCCTCACACAGTAGGGACTATTGTCTTCTTTTCACAGATGGAGGAACAGGCCCAAAGAGGTTAAGCAACTGTCCAAGGACCAAACGCTTTTGAGAGGCAGAGCCATGATTTTAGTCTAGAGTCTGCTCTGTATTGATGATTCTGCACTTGTGTATCCCCTGCTGGGGGAATTGTGCTAGAATAATTGCCATTTGAAAAGCTGTGTTGAATGGTCTGTAACAGATTGTTATATAGAGCTAATTGGTTTTCATGGTCATGGGGAAAAATGACCTGTAATTTGAGAAAACTTGCATATCTAATAATTTCCTTTGACTATTAAATGTCTCTGTATGATTACTAATTTATTAATTTTTGCATCCGGGCATTTGTTTTAAAAGGCTAAACAGCAGAAACGTCCATTTGCCTATCATAAGCTCTTGAAAGATGCAGGAGGCATGGTGATCGATATGAAATGGAACCCCACTGTTCCCTCCATGGTGGCCGTTTGTCTGGCTGATGGCAGCATTGCTGTCCTGCAAGTCACAGAAACAGTGAAAGTGTGTGCGACTCTTCCTTCCACAGTAGCAGTAACATCTGGTGGGTAATAAAGGCTTTCACTCTGTAATATGTAATAATGGTAATTATTAAAAAAATAATTTCTGGAAATAAAAGCAAATGGGTTTTTGCTGTATTTGTTGTTGTTTGATAGAAGTGGAGAAAGTTATTTCCATAGTTAATGTCCTTGTGGCCAAACAGCATACATGATTTAACGTGAAAGTGCTTGGGTTTTCTGGAGAAAGAAATATTTTGGTACAGCTTGTTTAGAACTGTGTTTTTGAGAGTAATTGTTTCTGGATCTAAAAGGGTGTGCTCTGAAAGTCATTTGTACCTTTGCAGGAAAAGCATTAGAAATACCGAATAGGAGTCAGAGAATGATTTCTTCATACTTGAAAACCTCTATATTCCTTGTCTTATCTAAAGACTCCACAGGTTTCTGTACCTTTCAGCTTTCTGGGCAATGCTCCATTGAAGAAGCATTTTTAGCAGTTGATTCATTGGTCTAGTGATAAATCATAATTGGCTTATATCATCAAAAGGGCTTTTCTTGTTTCACTTTGCTTAAGTAAGGGTGATCCAGCAGTCCTCTGTGGGCTGACAGAAGAACAAGAAGTGGTGATTGTGTTGCCATTTTGTTGCAGATCGCATTGGTTTGTTGCAACTTCTTCAGTTTTTAATTGGTAGCCTTTTCTTCTTTGCTCAGTGTGCTGGAGTCCCAAAGGAAAGCAGCTGGCAGTGGGGAAGCTCAATGGAACTGTGGTCCAGTATCTTCCTGTAAGTCTTGCGTCGGGCTTCAGAACTTTCCTTACTTAAGTTACCCACTGTTTTAGGGGTGATTTGGGAGTACCTTTGGTGTTCTTTTCTACTAAAATGTAATTTGTGCTGATTACAACAAAAAAAAACAAGTGGAATTCTTCCCTTCTATCCCATAGTCCTTCCAGAGGCACAGTCTATGTTCTCTTTAGTGGTGGCCTTCCCAGCTTTTCTGGATGCTTATACAAATAATCTGTGTGTAAATGTATTGTTTTTGTTTTCTTTTTAACTAGAATGTGATCATACTCTACACACTGTTCCCCAACTTTATATTCCCAATCCATTCCATAAAAACAGAGCTTAAGGGGAAAAGGAGTTAGTGGAAGGTTGAAGCACAGGATTATTTGACCCCTAGCCGAGTCCATCTTAAAGGGCCAGTTTCTTTGATTAAAAGCACCAAAGAAAATGGATGCTCATGTTGTTGCATGTCCACTCTGTCATCCTCTCCCTGTGGTCTTCCTGAGATAGTATGCACAAAGTTTTCCAGTATAAATTGACAAGGAATCCGTGTATGTATCAAGTCAAGCCTGGATGGGAAGGAGGGGTTCACAGTGCCGAGTCCTGTGTTGTTGTGCATTCCTCCTTGGCGGACTTTTCTGTGGTATGCAGAGGGTGAATGGGGTGATGTAGGTTTGAGGTGAAGGTTTTGTTACTTTTCTTTTAATTGCAGAAAGTTATATGAAATTTGGTACATACTCTTACACCATTAGCCTGTAAAAAGATAATACAATTGATTTAATTTTACTGGTGTATTTGTCTTTCTCTCTCCCCTTTCTTTCTTTCTTTACTTTCTTTTCTTTCTAACTTACTGGTATATTGGGGTCCTTTTCAAGCTCATACATATAGAGCCACTTCATTCTTTCATTCTTTCAAATGGCTGCACAGTAGTGCACTGTGAATGGGCCCTGATTTACTCATGTCTTGTTATTGCTGGTTATCTGGATCACTATGAGTGGTTTTGCTACAATAAATGGTAATGCGTTGAGCATCTTTTTTGTCTGCATCTGAACATGTTCATGTAAGTATTTCTGTAGGATAGGGTCCTAGAAGTGGTTGTTCACTCTTTTCTGTCATTGGTCTCTCCTGGATGGGAAGATGAAACACAGGTGGCTTTTAGGGGAACATAGTGGACTTGACAGAATTTCATTGGTTTAAGGATTGTTTCATTTAATGCTTTAAAATTTTTTTCAAATCTCTTTCAGACTCTGCAGGAAAAAAAAGTCATTCCATGTCCTCCATTTTATGAGTCAGATCACCCTGTCAGAGGTAAGACATCTACCTTTCTTATGGGGCTGACCTCTAATGAGATGTTGTCCGTAGTACAGAAATTTCAGGTCCTTGATGCACCTGCATACCTGCTCAGGTGCTCAAGGAAGTTAGTGCCTCCTGTATGAATACTCTCTTTATTTCAGCTAGCTAAGTCCGCTGGTAGACAACAGTATCTCATGGTAAGTGGCATTAAATTGATCCTGATTCTCTGTTAGACTTCTTCATAACTTGCCCTTATCATAATCTACCAGAAAAAAATACCACTTTGGGATGAATTTGGCTTCTTGAGTCTTTGTATCTAAATTATGTGTAGTGGGTGAAATCTGGACCTTTGTTTAAAGCTATAGTGCTTTGAATTTTTTTATCCAGGGGCTGTTAATATTTTAGCATACAGGGGCTATTCCAAACTTAAGGTGCTTTATTAAAGGTGTGTGTCTTGCAGTTCTGGATGTTCTCTGGATCGGGACATATGTCTTCACAATAGTATATGCTGCAGCAGATGGGACCTTGGAAACTTCTCCAGACGTGGTGATGGCTCTGCTGCCAGTATGTATTTGAACAGACGTCTTTGCTCTTTGAGAATTATGGCCGTCCCCTGCTAATGGACTTTGAGGCTTAGGCTTTGTTTCCTTCCTTGGCAGTGGTGGTGCAGCTTCAGGTGTAAGATCTCTACACTGCACCATGGGCCTGGGGACCAAAACGCAGGTGTCTGCTTAGGTTCCACTGTTCAGTCATAGGGTAAAAAAAATAAAACTTGCTTTTGCTTAAGCTGTGAACTGTGAGTCTTCATAGATGTTAAGCTGATTAAGAAATTTTAGAAAAGCAAAAAAAAAAAAAAATCCCAATTTTTAAAACTTCTCTCACTTACTTATTGGGTGTTTATCCAATGCCTACCGTGTGCACACATGGCTGTAAAGCTGAGCACACAGTGCTGACCAAAGCGGAGTCCTTGCTTTTGTGAATCTTACAAGCTAGTGGATGTGCTCATCATGACTAAGTGTGAATTGGGTGATGGTGAAGGAGATGGGGGAAATATGGAAGGATGTGGGATCTATGATGGTGGTGGTTCAGATCAGGGCTCAAGGAAGGCCTCTGAGGAGGAGCTGTTGGAGCAGAGAATCATACGAAGTGAGGTGGGGGGGGTGAGTCATTTTGAGGATGGAAGAACTTTTAATATTAAGACCTATAAGATGTTAACTAAATTGCAGTGGCCTTTTAAAAAGCGCGAATGAGGCAGAGCTTTTATTCCAAATTGTTATTAGCTTTCAAAATCCAGAAAAAACACTAAAAAATGAAAATGCATAAATAAATGTCTAAATGTGGGAGTTGCACCAGTCATTCTGTTTTGCAATGTGGTTTTACTTAGTTTCAAATTATGAGCATCTTTATGGGTCAGTGAATAAAATCTACTCGGCTTTGGACAGGTAATCAGTTTATTTAGCTCTTCCTGTGCTGTTGGATATTCACATTGTCAGATATCCTGTTTTAAGAATGCTGTGATTCATTCTTTTATATACATTTTTTGTGATTATTTTTTAGAACAAATACCTAGAAATTAATTTGGTCAAGTGGTATGTACTTTTTTTGGTGGGCTTTGGAAAACATTGCCAAAGTATCCTTTAGGAAAGTTGTTCCAGTTTATACTCCTGCCACCCATGAGACTACCAGTTACCCAACACGTGTGTCTGTATGCGTGGAACCATGTTTAGTCTCTGCCAATCTCATATGCCTTTTATTAACTTTTAGGTTCCTGATAAAGTTGAATTAAAAATATATACTTACTGAGGTACCTTATTTCAAAATATCATTAAGATTTCCTATTCCCAGGGATAGTATTAATACTAGTATTTATTGACTACTTTTTACGTTCCATGTACCGACCTAGAAGTTTTATATGTATCATTTCATCTCACACTTGAAACAGCCATTGAAGTAGATTTAGTAGGTTCATTATGCACATGAGAAAACTGAGTGTCAGAGAAGTTGACTCTCAGCCAGAAAGTGACAAGACAGTTTGAGTTCAGTTTGGTCAATGGCTAATGTTCATGTTCCTTGTACTGTATTATTCAGTGCTGCCTTTATATCATGTCTTTGGACATAGATTTTGAGTGAATTTTCTCATGAAACTTCTTTTATCTTTTGAGATCCTTAACTGTGTAGGATTAAAGAAAAGCTCATTTTATCTATTGTAGAAAAAAGAAGAAAAGCACCCAGAGATATTTGTGAACTTTATGGAACCCTGCTACGGCAGCTGCACGGAGCGGCAGCATCATTACTACCTCAATTACGTTGAAGAATGGTGAGCCAAGAACACAGGAGAGGGATTCCTACTTGTATTGTCAGGTCATGCCTGAATTGTGTTGTTCCCACTTTGAATTTTTTTCTGTAAGAGGGAAGAAACAGAGGATTGCGATGCCCTGAACATATTTCCATCTGATGCTAAATAATGCCTTTCTGACTACCACTTCTGTATCCCCAGTCTTGAATTATTTAGACTGAATATGTACTAATCTCAAAAATCCTGTTTGCCCCATAATCCCAGTGACACCTTATGAAAATAATGATCTTTAAGGAACATATTAAAAGTTTCCCTGAGAGCATAAGATTCCCTTTGAAAGCCAGATTACTTGAAGCAAAGCTTCTGTTCCTTTCATCATATCATCTGTTTATAGGGTGGTAGATTTATTTGAAATTCTGACTTGATTTTGTACCATCTGTCCATCATAAGTACATAGGCAAGTTAACTGAGTCTCCAGGGCTTTATCCTGGTTAAGCTTTATGTCTAAAATCTTCTTACCTTTCTTCAGCCATACAGAAATGCTTCCCTTCCTCCTCAACATCTCAAGGAAATCCTCAGATGTTACTACAGAATCAAGTCAGAGCTGTTGCTATGTTTGAATTTAATGGTCTTCTGGTTTTATTCTTTGAAGGGATTTAGTGTTGGCAGCATCTGCGGCTTCAACAGAAGTTAGCATTCTTGCTCGACAAAGCGACCAGGTAAATTTTTCTCTTTTGTCAGTTTTAATGATACCTTTCTGAGAAAGATTTTGGAGGGAATTAACTATGTGGTTAAGATTTAGAAGCATCCCTTTAATGAGTTTCTGGATGAGAGCAAAGCTTACATGACAAAGGGCCTTGGACCAGATGGCTTGGATACTGTATTGGGCAGACGTGGGTGTCAGATTCTGCAGCATCTTCGGTGTCAAGAAAGCCCTTCTGCTCTTTTAGGATCCATCCACAATCTGGGGAAACATACCATATTATCAGCCTGCAACAGAAATATACCTGGAAATGGAGGTTTTTCCTGCCTTTTTATGTTTTGCCACTTCAGTTTTCTTCCTATTGCTTGAACCTACACCTTCTTTTCAATTAACCTTAACCCCTCCTCGATTATGGGAGAGAAACATGCAGATCATACCAGATTGTGACTTACCAGAAACGCTTCCTGTTTCACTTTGAAAAAATGCCAGAAAGCTAAAAGCCGCCATGCATATAAAGCGTCCACCTCCCTCCTATCATCATGGTCTCCTTGCAGGCAAGAATTGGGCTGGGGGTGGGCGGTGGTGATAAGCTACCCAAACCACAGCAGATATGCAGTGAAAGGGAGACCTTTTTTTTATAAACTCTGCCTTGAGTTTCAGAATGTTTTGTGTACACCGTGCACAGGTACTTACCCCTGTTCAGCTGCTTAGTGTTTGTCCATCATTGTCTGGGTGGCAAGGTGGCCCCTAGTGTCTAGGGTGGCCGCTTGGGGTCAGAGGCCAAAGGTCAGTCTGGTTTGCTGCTCTTGGACTGCCTTAACAAGTTCCTAACAGCACAAATATTTCATGTATTCACACTTGTAAAATACACTTCCATTTTTGCTTTTTATCAAAATAATTTGTGGACATTGCTAAAAACTCAAATAGTAGAGAAGGGTTTGTAAGTGAAGAAAAAAAAGAAACACCCCTGCCCCACCCCATCTTTATTCAGTCCTGTTCTCTAGAGGGGACCATTTTTAACATGTGAATTTTTCTTTTAACGGCTACTTATTTCTAGTAGTATGCTTCATCATTACTTGGTGATTATTAATTACAGACTTAATTGGCTGTTAGGGCAGATGAGGATTTAGCTCATATATGGCCTTCAAATCCACCCCTTTGCAGGAGGGCAAGGGACTATTTTGGTTTCTTCTATTGGTTACATTTATAACTTTTTACTTTCATTTCTTACACATCACTGTCTGTAATACCTCTTGGCCTTCCACTTGTGAGAGGACTGTTTGCCCCACCACCCTTGCCTTTAGCACACCTTCCCCCATGCCCGCCTCCAGCTGTTGTCATCTGTGTCTCTTTCGCAAAATCAAAGCTAGTACTATTTGCATCCTGATCTATAATGATTATTGTTCTCTTTATTTTGTCCATAACGTTTTTCAAAGCTGAATGAATTTGGTTTGCTGCACTGTGAATGTGACTGTTATTCACTCCATAGCTGAGTCTTGGAGTGTGGGTGCATCCCCTGTCCCGAGTGGCATTTTGCTTTTCTCTCTGTTCCTCGCTGAGCACTGCTCCCCTGTGGTTCATGCTGTTCGGTTCTGGTCAACACTGAAAGTTAGATCGAGTGTTATTGATTCCTAAAAATCAGAAACCATTTTTTGGAAGGAACAGAGCCACTCAAGCAAATGTAAGTCAAAGGAGGGTTTATTGGAAAGACTTAGTGGTTTTCTCAAGGAATCCAGAGGCAGACAGATGAACAGGCATGAGAAACTGACCCTGGGAACTGGTAAGACAAGAACTGTGGTGACCTGTCTACAGATGAATGAGCACAGGGCCTCTGGCCAGCTTTATAAGCTTGTCGGCTCAGACCGCAGTAGACACCAAATAGGGTTCCTGGTTCCAATCCCAGATTGCTGGGAGCAGGTACTAAGTGGCTTAGTGTGGCTATGGGATTCACCTGCCATGTTTAGGAATCTACCTTGTGGTGAACAGTGCCTCAGAAAGTATTCATGATGGTGGCTATTTTTTCACAAGGCAGGGACTTGATATACCAGGAACAGGTAAGTTGCTTTGGAGAATTAACCCCTCACTTGATGGGGGTACTCATGGCTTTTAGACCATCTTCCCAGATTCATAGTCTTAGCTGGCACATAAATCGAAACCCAATGAGTTGTCTTTTTTCTTTCCTAATTGAACAATGCTGGAAAGAACTGATGCAAAGCTCTGACCAACATGGCATTTTCTTCTGCTTCCTTTTTCCAGATTAATTGGGAATCTTGGCTCTTAGAGGATTCTAGTCGCGCTGAACTGCCTGTGACAGACAAGAGGGATGACTCCTTGCCCGTGGGAGTTGCTGTCGATTATACTAACCAAGTGGAAATCACCATTAGTAAGTGTAGTCTGGTGTAGCTTAGGGCAGAAATAGTCTGCTTTCTAGAAATGGTTAACATTTAAGTCCAGTTCTACACGTTCATGACAGAGTCTACTCTGCTGGGCACTTTTATATTCTGGTGGCTAAGTTCCGTTTGAAGAGTGATGGAGAGTGTATTTTGACAACAGGAAACCAACTTGAATGGATGCTCATTGGTGAGACCAAGGCCAGATGACTCTGTGTGTGTGTGCCTGTGTGCCTTTGCCTATGTGTATATGTGCATGTATGGAGATAGCGTGTATTTGTATCTACTTTAGAATATGGTTGAAATACAGAACCTCAGGATTTCACAACTTTGTTTCTTTGCCAGTCCAGTTCCCCAGTGACCTCTCTAGGCAACAGTGTCCTAGTCCGGTACTGCATCCCAGTGCTTGGTTTGAAGGCATGGGGTAGACAGTGGGCATCTCAAGCACTTGGCTTCCAAGTTGGGCCTGAGTGGGTGCTCTGAGTATGTCTTTCCCTCTGCTGAAGGTTGGCAGAGCTGCATCCCATGATGTGTGAAAGTGCAGCAGAAGATGTATTTGCTCCTTGGTGCTGTATTTCAAGACGTGTCCCCATCAGGCACCGTGAAGTTCTTGTCCTTTCCCTCATCAGGTTATTTGGTTAGTTAGCTCATTTACTCTGATCCCATTCAAGTCTTAATTGACAGAATATATGCTTATGATTCAGTTGTGAATGAATTTAAAGTATGTGTGCTATTATGTGTTTTACAAAGAGTCTAGTCTGTTGTTTTTCCACTAAACCAGTCACTTCCTAGAGACTTCGATCTTGGTCAAGGGAATACTGAACCTCCCTCCCAAACACCAAGACACTCGTCGAATCGGGACGGTGGGAGTGTCGGAGCTGCTGCAGGATGGCTGCAGCTTTGTGCTGGGCCTCGCAGGGTGGTGGCGAGCCAGTGATGGCAGTAGCTCTCTTTAAGGAGCTGTTGCTCAAAAAGCTGTTCAGATCTGACTCAGAACAGACTGACTCGAGCTACTGCTGGGATGAGTCCATTAAGCTGCTGCTTGCTCAGGGCAGTCTGTCCTTACAGGCCCAGGGCCTTCAATTGACTTGGCTCTTTTGTCACATTTTTTTTTTTAACAGATGATGACAAGACTCTTCCTCCTGCTCCAGTTCTTATGTTACTTTCAACAGATGGTGTGCTTTGTCCATTTTATATGATCAATCAAAATCCTGGGGTTAGATCTCTCATCAAGACACCAGAGCGGCTCTCGTTGGAAGGAGAACGACAGCCCAGGTCATCAGGTGTGTGCCTCTCACTGCTGTGGCGGAGGAGGAGTACCACGGGGCTGTTCAGGACTGTCCCCAAGGAGGAAAACTGGACGGGTGCCTCGGCTCCTCCTCCCCTGGCTGGTCTGTCTGAATGAGGCGGGGGCTGATCTCCTCGGACACCCTTGCTCTTCTCACCCACAAGCTTTGTTCTCCAGCCTCTGTTTTGGAGAAAAAGGAGGCTCAAGCCAGGTGGATCCCATCTGGTAATTTACCAACATCCTGGTATAACATCCCATATGGTCTGAATCCTCAAGATGTATTCTATCATGATTATACATTAATTAGTACAGTGAATGCTGTGTAACTTAAAAATGTATTTGTTGACAAGAAAGGAGTTAGTGGAATACATCATGAAAAAGTACCACCTACTTTGTGATTCCTTTTTATGAGATAAAATATGTGCATAGGAAAAATACGTGAAGAATGGGTATTAAAATCTAAATAGTGGTTATTTTTGGGTGGTGGGGATGAGGACTTCTTTTATCTATGTTTCATTTTCTTTAGGTTTATTTTTTTTCCTCTTTGAAAACATTAAGTGATAAATGTTTGTTGGAGAAAAATTAGAAAATACAAGAAACAATCACTTAAAAGCCTATCATCAGGTGGTAGCCATGGCCAACATTTGGTACATATTCCTCATGCACACAAATGCACACATGCAAATGCTAATCTTTTTTTTCAGGTTTTTCACAGTAATGATGTATCACTGCGAAAAGAACATAAAAACTTTTTAGAAGGGGATTGTTGCGTGTTTGGAGCCCCATATCTAAGGAAAAGTATGTTGACCAGTGGGTTGATAGGTTGACAGTACTTAGGGTATATTTTCCCACTCTTCCTAATGCAGAGAGAATTGTTCCTCCTCAGTAGAGCCACTCAAATATTTCAGTTGCTGTCATTTGGCAGTGGGACCCCAAGTAATAAAGTAGGAGCCTTGCCTAAGCGTTGTTGTGTTGGGATATCTCATTATGTACAATGTGTGTACTCTGAGGTGTTTTCTCTCAAAGTAGTCGTGAGTACCAGGAGCCACCTGCACCCGGTTGCGTGATCTGCCTGTAACAAGCAGCATGCCCTGTGAAGTCGGGAGCCGGTGGGGATATTGGTTTCTGAGCACGGTTCAGTGTGAAGGACTTTGCTACTAGCTCATTAAACCCCTGGGTACAAGAAGAGGCCAGTTTTACTGTTCACCTTTCATAGAGAAACCCCGTTCCTCCCTCACATTGGACCAGAGGTAACAGCCGTGTTCAGATGAGCGAGAGAGCCGCGGAAGGGAGAGGGTCCTGCCAGTTCTACCTAAAGCCTTGGTCGTGGGTTCAGAAGACATTAAGGGTGCCACCTGTTTCTACAGTACATCTCCAAGGATGCTGAGTAGGATGGTCAGGAGTAGGCACATGGTGGCTTTCAGATGTGCAGTTCTGTTTTCTCTCAGTGGCAAAAGTGCCTGTGATTTCTTTGAGGTCTGGCATGTGCTGCTCATGTTGGTCTACCAAGTGTGCGTGGAAATGATTACTAGCACTTATGTATTTGTGTCTTTAGAGAAGTTACCTGTTGCTGGTTCCATTGTGTAAAGGAGGTATTGCTAGATTTGCTTGCATTATTATAATTCCATAAAAGTGGCAGTTTACTTTGGGTTCTCTGTTTTTAGGAAGTGGTATTTTCATAACTTGCATCCTACTTATTTCATTGCTTTGGATGTAGTGAAGATAAACTGTCACCTCAGGCAATCTGGAAGAACCAGGACCCATTAATTTAAATGTGTTGATAAAGAAAATATTTGTGCCCTGTTTATTTAGTTATTTAATTTAGACAGTGAATGTGTTTAGTTTATAGAATGTTTGGAAAATAGAAAAAAATTTAAGCCTGGCTTTTTGGGTGTTCTCTTCCAGTGGTTTCTCATAAACATCTTTCTTCATAGCTGTGATCATTGTGTATACATGCGGGGTGTGCAGGTCTTTAATTTAAAGTGTTTTCCAAGTTCTCACATAATCTTGGTAATTCATTTAAATAGAGTACTTCATATTCCATTGAACTTTTTTCACTATTTGGGGTGTATTTAATGTCTTTTTTAAAATCATTTTTTAGGTTATTTTCATAGGCTTTATTCTTAGAAGTGAGATGACTGGGTCCATTTTTTATGACTTTTGAGACATAATGCTGAAATGTTTTCCAAAAGACTGTGCTAAATTAGGTACTTGCCAGTGACAGAAGGTTTCAGGTTGATTTTACCCTTCTAAACCTAGGGATTATGCATATTTAAACTTTGGTAAGTTTATAGGGTGATCAAAAATACACCCTATTTAAATTGGCATTAGAGAGTTAGGGAAATTGAATATATTTTCTTTTTGTGAATTAGGTTCTTGGCTTATTAGACTTCTGAACTTTTTAAAATTTCAATCTGTATGAACTTTTAAAAGCAAAACATTGTCATATGCTGCAGATTTTTTTTTTAGGTCATTTACCTTTTAGGTATGTAACTTTTTACAGAGTCAAGTCTTAATCTTTTGTGATCTTTTTGTCATACCTAAATTTCTCAAGTTTTTAGATTTGAAGATGTAACTCATGTTTTTGCCTTCCTTGTTTTGAGATACATGTGTATGTGTGCTTTTGTGTTCGTACATATCTGTAATTCATCTGGAATCGCTTTGAGTGACTGTTACGAAGTGGACATCTGAGTTAAAGTCTCCTCCTGATAATGGAATGTTCTGGAATGACTTATTTTTCAGTCTCACACTGAGAAGTGTGTTTTTTCTGTATTATTCAGCTGGGTGTCCATCAAGTCCTGTTAATCAGTCTAATGTTTCCCCCATTTCCTTTTTCTTTTAAGTTCCTTACATCCTGTCATACGTCATGTTTGCTATGGCAAGGCCAACATTCGCTCTATTTCCCTTTCTTTTTCTTCTTGAGCTGGGACCAGTACTTCTGGCCGCATTCTGCCACAGACCCTTTTGCACCTGCTCCGTTATGTGGGCCTCAGATGTGACGGTGCTAACTTCTTTTTTTTCTTTTTCTCCATTGTTTTCTTTTCTTTTCTTTTTTTTTTTTTTTTGCAGGAAGCACTCCCACCACCCCGACCTCCTCTCAGGCCCCACAGAAGCTCGATGCTTCCACAGCTGCAGCGCCTGCCTCTGTTCCCCTTCCTTTGCCGGCTGCTCCCACCACCACCTTCTCTCTGCCGTCTGCTGTTGGAGGTCCTACTGTGTTCTCCTTTGGGTCTTCGTCCTTGAAAGCCTCTGGGGAGCCCCCTCCGTATTCTGGTGGCTCTGACAATTCCAAAGCGGCCCTGGGCTCTGGCGCCTCCACCTTCTCTTTCGCGCCACCTCCTCAAGCCTCCCCAGCACCCACGCCTGCAGCCTCTCCCGTGGCACCATCAGCTGCTTCATTCTCCTTTGGATCGTTGGGTTTTAAGCCTGCCCTGGAAAGCACACCAATGCCAAGTGTGTCTGCTCCAAACGTAGGAGGGAAACCCTCCTTCCCACCCTCAGCCTCTGCTGTCAAGGTCAACCTTGGCGAAAAGTAAGTAACCCTTACAGGAGGGCTGATTCTTCTGTAGGAAGTGTAGAAATACCATGTTATTCAGTGGAAACAGAGTCACTGTGAGAGGAGTTACCAAGTACATTTTCTCTTTTCTCCTTTGTCCCAAATGGTAAAAAATTCAAACAACATAAAAGTTTGCATTTCATCAGTGGATAGAGTCCAGAAGAGTCTCTTAGACTTTTTTTTTTAATTATTAGGGGTTTAATTTAAATGCTTGTTTCACTTTTTCGGATTTAAGATGTAGATGTTCCTTATTTCTAAAAATGAAACAATGAATAGTGCGCATCCTGTGAGGGAAATGGATGTCTTGTAGCCTTTTTTTCCAAGGTCCACCCTTGACTCTCTGAACTGTTTTCTGCACAGCCACCAAAGTGGCCTGTGAAACTATAGGCTCAGATGACTCCTGCTTGACAGTCCCCAGTGGCCTTGCATTGCCTTTCGAGCAGAGTCCACGCCCCTTAGCATGGATCTCCAGTTTCCTACGGGTCTAGGTCCTCCCGCCTCACTCATACCACGTGGGCTACTTCCTTATCTGCTGCTGTCTCCCCACTGGAATGTCAGCTGGAGGGAGGCAGTTCCCTATGGTTGTAACCCTTCCCGAGGTGTCCACTGAGTATAAACACCAGCAGCTCCTCCGCCTGTGCTTCCTCTTATGGGGAAGCAGCGCTGGCTGGTGCCACTGCCGCTGCCATGGTCATTGTTAATATTAAACCGTCACACAGCCACTTCTTTCCAATGGTTGCCTCATATTCCATTTTGTGCCTGCCCCATAATTTATGTGACCAGACATCTAATGCTGGATATTTTGATTTTTTTATACATGTTTACTCCGTACGTGAAACTTACTTTACATTCCCATAGGCGTCCCAAAGGTGGTGGCCTTCTTTTCTCTTCTCTTTCCACTCTGCAGAGGCGGTGATCACCCCCAAAATGAGTTTTCAGTAATTTCCTTGGCACAAGGAGGATACTAAACTCTCCTAAGTATAATTGAGTCTGCCCTCATTTTTATTCAACTTGATAGAAGAGGAACTAAGTATTTCAGATCTTGATAAACTTAGTTTCATCTTCACGTTGAATACTTACTCGATACTTTCATTGGATCATTCGTTCCTAAATAAGCAAAAGATAAGAAAATGTTTCCTTGCAGCTTTCACTTTTTGTAAGAAATAAGTAAACATTGATGTTTCATGAAGGCAAAAAAACCACAAACAGTAATCATCCTGGGATGACATTGCCCGTGACCTGTGCACAAGAACTTCGCAGCAGCCCGTTCTGATGCATCCACTCTGCTGTCGGCAGGTTTGTTGCCGTGGCCACCTCTGCCCCTGGTAACAGCTCACAGGGCGCACCGTCCGTGCTTCCCTTCTCCTCTGCCTCCAAGCCAGCCTCTTCCGGGCCTCTCAGCCACCCTGCACCGCCCTCGGCATCACCCAGTCCCACGCCATCAAAGTCTTCCTCCTCCTCGGTGTCAGGTATGACTTCCAGTGAACGACTTGAGCGCTTCGTCTCGAGTTCTCGAAATAACGTTTTCCAGTCGTTAAGGATCCCAGCTAACATAGTTGTGCTAGATCGCTTTTTCTTGCTCCCTGTATCTCGCACTAATGTGCTGTGACTTTGAACTCTGAATTGGGATGATTCCCGACGATGACGAGGCTGCCACACTTGGCTTCCTGACATTTCTCATGGGGCCAAGTGTACTTGCTGATTCAGAGTATCTCGTGGGCCATTTATCTTCACGGGCCTGCCTACGAGAAGGGCAGTCACAGAACAACTCTTCAGGCTGCAGCGAAGAGACAGAGCCTGCGGTGGCTTTTATGCTCATTGCCTCTTGTAACCGTCTTTCACACTCAAGCTCTTCGTAAATAAGCAAGTTTATTGAATAAAAACCGCGAATGGAAATAATTAGTGTAGCCATGTTAAAGTGTGTTATTAAGCTCCATAAGCAGATGTATTATCTCTTTTTTTCCTTTCAAGCCTGCAGAAAGGTTGCATGAACTGTAGGGATATAGGGGTATTTTCCCTTCCCAGACTTAGCACTTGCTGACATTTTGTTCCTCTTGCTCTTTGTCTTTCCCTTGTAGTGTAAACTTTTTTCTAAAACATTTGAGAGTTAATTGCAGACATGAAACACCTTATCCCTAAATACTTCAGTGTATATTTCCTAAAAAGAAGGGCACATGATACCTTATTAGACTCAGGAAATTGAACAGTACTCCACAGCACATATTCACATTTGCCACAGTTATCCCGATAATGTTCTTTATGGCTTCTTTGCCCCTCCAATCCCGGAGCCAGTTGAGGACCAAGTGTTATATTCCAGTTCTGTCTCATTAGTCTCTGTCCCAAATAGTTCTTTTTGTCTTTCTCAGCACTGGCATTTGTGAGGACGTCAGACCAGTAGTTCTGTGGGCTGCCCCTCAGTTTGGACGTTCCAGATAGTGAGATTCAGGGTGAACGTATGGGCAGTGATACCACACAGGGGATGTGTGCCATATCACATGATTTCATTTTGTCCTGACATAGGTGATGTTAATCTGCTCACGTGGTTAGGATGGTGTTTGCCGATCTCAGTTTTTCAGTTGGTTATTTTCATGAATGCCAGTAATTCTGCCTAGCCAGACATATTTGGGTAGCCATTTGCTGTTTGGGTGTCTGGGGGATCTTTATCTTGGTCAATATTGAGCAAGCACTGAGCTGTGAAATTCCCAAAATCATTTCTCCTGCCTATTGCTCAAGAGAAAGGGCTGCATTGAGGAGTTTGCAAAAGTCACCTTATCCCAGGACTTTTTCTCCAATTCTATGGCCCAAAAAGTTAAGCAGCCTTGCCTTAGTCTTATCACATGGCTTACAGTTTGGGAGAGAAAACTTCAACCATAATGGTCCTTGTTTCCACTGCTCACCACTCGAATCTCCCTACCCCTACCCCAACCCATTGCCATTATTTAATAAAGTTCGGAGGGTCCTAGATTATTGGATCATAGTCCCAGTGGCACACTAGATTCATTGGGGGGGTCCCTCCCTAACAGTTTAATCAGGCTCCCTGGAGATGAGGCTTGGATGTGAGCTTTTGTTGTATCTTTTTTAAAAGCTCCCCAGGTGATTCTAATGGGCACCAGGGTGAGACCTGTCCTAGAGGCTTCCGGGAGGCTCCTGAAGACCCTGTGAGTTCTTAGAAGGTGATGGGGTTATAGTCCTCATCTAGTGGTTGCTGTACTTTGTCCCCGGTTCCTAGATGTGCATCAGGATCCTCTGGGGGCAGTGAGGGTGGGCCACATGGCTAGTCTTCTGGGCCTGTACACAAATAAACATACTTATTAAACACACTGAAGGCTTATCTCGTTCATAAGAAAGAGTTTCACATCTAAAAACATAATGCATGTTTTTTAGTTATCTTGGAACAGAGACTGACACAACTGTGGGTATCATTCTTGGTAAGAAAAATCATTGAAGGGGGTCAGGGACAATGAGAAATCTACTTTTTTAGATTAGAGGAAAGGATTTTGTGATAGGAGAAAATGGAAATAAATACTGTCTGTTTTAATTACTTTTTATTCTAGCAGGGCGATCTGCTCAGGGCAGTCCAAGTCCAGCACCCTCAGTAGTCCAGAAGTCTCCCAGGATAACTCCTCCCATGGTCAAGTCAGGCTCTCCCCAGGTACGCTTAAGCTTAGCTTAACAATGTGTGTTGATTATGTTACTGCCCCAATCCTCCATGTTTATAAACTAGGTTTTCGTGTTTCAGAATTCACACCTTTGAAATGGTATTTAGGATGATAGAAAATATCAAAACATGAGCTCTGAATGTTTGTAATGTGTGCTCATAAAGCCATTTGTCTCAACCCCGGAATGTTAGAATTCTCTTCTGTACTGATCCTGACCTATCTGTGCTATGCTGTTCAGTCTGTGGAATTCTCTTTCTGTCTGAAAAGACATAGCACTGAATTTTTTTCTTTCACTTCCAAAGTACCCAAGGAGTATATCCAGTGCTTTCTTTTTCTCTGCCTTTCCATACCACCTCAGTTTTACTTAATTTTTTGACATATAATACACATAGGAAACAAAGCACACCTCAGTGAATTGTTACCAGCTGAATACACCATTTTAACCAACACCCAGATCAAGAAATAGAACATTACCAGACCCCAGAATCTCCCGCATGTGTACCGTTCTAGTCACTAACCTTGCCAAAGGGGCCTTGCTTTTAGGATTTCCAACAGCAAAGCTTGGCCTGTTTGTACCTTCTGTTTAGCAGAATTATGCAACATGTGTTGTCCTATCTGGCTGTTTTGCTTAACATTGTGTTTGCGAGATCTTTCCGTATCATTGTTGCTGAAGGGAATTCATCGAGTGTCTGTACTGCAAGTATTCTACCCTGGGCAGGCATTTGAATGGTTTCCAGGTTTAAGTTCCTGTGAATAGCGTTGCTCTCCCTGCGCTAGTTGATGTCCTTAGGTGAACATCTGTATGCATATCTGCTAGGCTTATGCCGAGGAGTGGAATTGCTAGGCTGCACAGTATGCCTGTATTTCCCTTCAGTCAGTTCCCACTAATGGATGAGAGTTCAGCTGCTCCACATCCTGACCAATCTTGTTAGTTTCCATTTTTTATTGTTGTGTTTTGTGTTTTCAGTTAGTATTCATTGATGACCATAAAATTGAACTTTTTTTCCATAGGATTATTGGTTATTTGAGTAACTTCTTTTATGGGATGTCTCTTCAAGTTTGTGCATCCTTTTAACATAACTACTCTGAATTATTGCCTTTTCATTCTCTTAATGGTTTCTTTTTATGCCTACAGGTTCTTAATTTTAATATAGTTCAGTATACGAATTTTTCTTTCATGATTAGTGCTTTTTGTATGCTGTTCTAGAAATCATTTAGAAATGCCCAATTTACAGGTCTAGCTTTTGGCATAATCTGTGACTCATGGTATTTGTTAAGTAAATGTTTGTTGGTTTCATGAATGCTTATACAGTCTAAAAACTCTTTCTATGTTAATTGCTATAGGTATCAAATAATCTAAAAGCCATCTGAGATAATAACCACTAAAGCAGAATTCTTGATTCCTGTCTCCCCCCGAACCTACTTCTTTTCTAGTGTTCCCATCTCAGTAAGTAGCACCAACCAAGTAGTCTTAAGCCCCAAAGCCAGAAGTCATCCCAGATTCCTACCAGAACCTCCCCCAGTCCGTGCCAACGGAAAGTCTTGCCAGCTGTGCTCTGATGTGTATATGCCCTGATCCATATTGCTGTCTCCCCTGCTTATGTTGTATTTCAGGTCATTATCTTCTCTGAGCTTGCTGGCCTCCTGACTGGTCTCCCTGTTTCTTCTCCTGTCTCTCACTGTTACCCATGCTCTATTTGGCAGCAAGAGGATTTTTTAAAATCATAAATCAAAGAATAGTTTAAAGTCTCCCAAAACTGCACTAGTACTTCCTAAAACACTTAGAATAAATCTAAACTCCTTGGTAGAGCCTTGCATGACTTGCCCCTAACCTTTCCCACCCACTCCCTGACTTTACTGTGCCCACATTTTATCTCTTTGCCTTGAAGATGCCAAGGTCTTTCTTGCCTCAGATTCTTTGTACATGTTCTTGCTGCCTGGAAGGTGCTTCCTCCAGAACTTTCCATAGCTTTCTCCCTTAGTCTAGGTCTCAGTTCAAAGGCCATGCTCAGTGGGGACTTTCCGGACCATGTCATCTGTGTAGTGCTCCCTTTTGTTTTCTGTATTTTCTGCTTACTTTTCATACCCCTTATCACCTGCTTAAATTATCTGACTTCCTATCCTATCCATTTTGTCCTAGTAGAAAGTAAGTTCCAGGAGAGTAGGGACCTGGCTATCTTGTTCACTTCTGGCTCCACTGTCTAGAACATGCCTTATGCCAAGTAAGTACCCAGTAAGTCCAGTTCAGAAGTACGGATGGTGGGACAATGACTGTGTTATCAAAGTGCCGCTCCCTGTGATAGGCACTGGACCAGCTGCTTCAAGAAGCCCTAACTCATGGCAGAGGATGCATTTTTTAAGCCTTTTGCCTTCCATTTCAGACAAAATTACTCCAGCCTCCTGTTACAGAAAAGCAAGACTCAGACCCTGTGATAGCTGGAATTGGGGAGGAGGTAAGTCTGTTCCTGCTGATTTTTCCCGAGTTTGCTCTGACAGCGCATTTGAATGGCTGAGGGCAGACCCCTGTGTGACTGTTGTGTTCTGGCGTCCTACCTTGGCATCCAGGAGTCTGTGCTGTTCGTCAGTCTGGTTTGAGTGGCATTATCGCTGCACCGTGCTGACTCAGGAGTTTTCTCCTCTCTGTCTTCTACAGATCACACACTTTCAGAAGGAGTTAGAAGATCTGAAAGCCCGAACGTCCAAAGCCTGTTTCCAGGTGGGCACTTGTGAGGAGATGAAGATGCTGCGGACAGAGTCAGATGACTTGCACATCTTTCTGTTGGACATCAAGGAGACCACAGAGGTTTGTGTTACTGATACTCTTGCGAAGTTGCGTTGCACTTTAAAAGTTGTTTCGGTATTCTGTGGATGTATATGTTTTGTCTCATCAGTGACCACCAGTTGTTTTTTCTGTGAATGAGTAGCTTATCTAGAAATGCCTAAGTTCACATCCTGCCTTCAGCACTTAGTAATAAATTATGTAATTTCGGGCAAGTTAGTGGAATCACTCTGTTTTACTTTTTTCACATGGAAAATGGAACAATAGTTTCTATCCCACTGACACATACAAGGCACTTCACATAAGTTTATTATAGTTGTTAGTTCAGGTATATTTGAAAATTTCCTGCCTTTTGTAATAAATTGTTAGTTTGTAGTAAAGTGTTAGGTTAAAAAAAGGCAGAATATTTAGGAGCATATACAGTGTAACAATACATAATATTTCTTAATAGTATTATTTGCTGTGTGTTACTATGATTACGTACGAAACCACTCAACAGCAAACAAACACTTTCCCTGTGTTCCCTCATTAAATCCTCATAACTCTCCTGTGTGATAGGTACTGTTTCTATTTTGTAGGTTAGGAAACTGAGGCTTAGAGAGTGAAGTAATTTGCCCAAAGTCACCCAGTTACTGAGTGCTGGTTCTGGGATCCCAGTTTGGACCATGACTCCAGAGCTCTGGTCTTAAATACTGTGCTCGGAAAGTGGAGAGTTCTCCAGGGCGCCAGCAGTGATGTCTTCAGATGATTATAGGTGCCATTAATCCTTCTCTTATTTTCTGAGTTTCTGGTCATTAGAATATGCCTTTTTTAATGAGAAAAATAAATTTTTTTTTTTTTAATGTACCTTAGCATCTTTCCAAGTGGTGACCTTGCTTTGCATGACTGTTAACTATGTTCAGATGACCTTCATGTTAACAGAAATACCACCTGCCTTTATCCACACAAGAAGGTCTTTTTCCTGGAAACACCACTTTTGTACTGACACGTCCTTGTACCCTTTCTAGTCTCTTTATGGAGATACAAGTACTTTGAAAACCACTTTATTCGAGAGCTTTGCTGGTGTTGAAGAAGCCAGAGAACAACATGGGAGGAATCGTGACTCTAGCTATTTCCATTTGCTCTATAAGAGACCACTGGATCCCAAGAGTGAAGCTCAGCTCCAGGTAGGAGGACGCACCCCGGGTCTGCTGTTGGAAACAAACTCCTGTAACAACATTGGGTCACCCTTGCTGAGGTATGGGTTTGGGTGACTGCCCTTGCAAAGTTAATTTCCTGTGAATAATTCACCCACTTCCGTAGACTTCCTTAGCTGTCACAAACAAAATGGCATTTCTCTTGATGGTTTTTTGATTAAAAAAAAAAATTCTTTACTAAACCTTAAGCTTGATAGAGAGTACACTGTTGAAAAAGATATAAATTTAGTCATGAAGTATAAGGGTAGCAGCTATTCATTGAGCACTTAGCACTCTGCCAGGTGTTTTTTATACGTTATTTCTAGCCTTCAAAACCAACTGCTCTGCAAGAATGGAGTCACCGATCCCATTGTCCTGAGAAGGAAGTTGGGCCTCACAGGCTAAGGGTCTTGCCCAAGGGTCTTGCCCAAGGTCGCTGTGAAAGGGGAGCCGGAATCAAAACTTCCACTTTCCAGGGTGCTTTCCTATGCTCCATACTTTAGCAGACTGACTTTTCTCATTATTTATTCTTATTCTCTGTTTTAGCCAAATCTTGGTTTTTGTTTTCATCTTTCAATTTATTTAGAATTGTTGCATCACAGGCTTTAGTGGCAGTCATCTCCCACTCCTAGAGGTGGCCTAGAACCCTGGGAGGAAAGGTGCCCTGCGGGTAGGTGGTCCTCCTCCCCTAGGCCATGAGGGCCTGTGAGTATGTCAGATCCCCTCCTGCCGCAGAGAATACTGCAAGTCGGCCATTTCTACCATTTCCACCCCAAACCTGGTAAACTTACTGACAGCAGTAAAAGGAAAGAAATGGCCCCTCCTTCCAGAAAGGGACCCTGCTGTGCAGGCAGCTCTGGGGGATTCCCAGCAGTCTGTGGATTCCGGCTCTCAGCAAGAGGTTGTTTCCTGCTTGCCTGCCACTCATCGAGTTATGGGCCTCCGTGTTGCATCTGGTTACACTTTCTTCCTACATGCCTTTTTATTTCTTGCTCTGTGTCTGAACCGAAAGAAAAGCATTTGGCTTTTGGGGAACAGTTTGCCCATTCAAAAGGAAGTAATTTTCTTTTTCCAAGTGTTAAGATAAGAAGAGCGAGCATTTTTTGTGTGCACTCCATGTGCAAAAGAGAGATAAGGGAACGTAGATGCTGGGACTACCTGGGTCCCCCACTAGTAAGTGCTGGACCCTCATGCATGGGCAGTTGGCTCAGAGCCTGGGCTCCTAACCGCTCCTTTACAGGGTGCAGTCCCTTCACGTGGGTAAGTGGCAGTAGAAAGGTGAACATGAATGAATGGAGCTACTTTGTAGGAGCTGAAAGTGAGAACTGAGTGAGGACGTCTGTTCCCTAGAGGTGCTAGGCTGACAACGCCCCGCCCATCCTGTTTCCTCTTTCTTTTCTCGACCTCCCTGTACACAGTTCAAAAGGTGTAGTTTCTTTTTTTCATTTTAATTACAATGTTCCATGATCATAGTAAAGCCTAGTACATTTTCCTTGTTTCTTATGGTTCTCAGTATAAAATATTTCAGAATTATTTAACTGTTTTGATACACCTTCCTCCAGGCTACTGAAAAAAAACTGAATCATTTGCCTTTTCATTTGTTTCTTATAGGAAATTCGGCGCCTTCATCAGTATGTGGAATTTTCTGTCCAGAATGTGAATGATGTCCTAGATGTGGAGTGGGATCAACATCTGGAACAAAAGAAAAAGCAAAAGTGAGCGAAGCCCTCACCCACCACAGGGGGCAATAGATACTGTGTCATCGTTGGTAAAAGATGACTTGGGAGCATTTATAAAAATCCATACCAGTGTTCATTCTCTTAGACCCAGTAACTATACTTGCAGAAATTTGTTCTACAGAAATAATAGCAATGCTCACATTTTATATCAAAGAATTTATATTGCAGCACTATTCATAACTGAAAAATTGGACTGAACTGAGTCATACAAAAGTCAGAGGAGTAGCTGACTGAATCTGATCACATTTTTAAAAAATGCAAAATATTGTAACCATTCAATAGCATGTTGCCAAAGATCATATTAACTGTATTTTCTCTTACATGGAATATATAAAATACATAATTATATAATTGTTACATACAATATGTAAAATGAAAAATATGAAAAAGACATAAATATGTGTAAGATAATATGCTGTATGATCTCAGTGTGGAGGTCTAAATATAGGAAAGAGACTAGAAATAAACCCGTCAAAATTTTCAGTTATGTCTGCAAGATAATCTTCTCTTACGAGGGGATTTTCTTTTGTACTCTGCTGTATATTCCAACTTTCTTTTTTTGTCAAATAATTCCTAATTAGTGTGGGTAATTAAAAGGATGAGTAAGAAGTGATGGCGCAGGCTTGGTAAAACCTCTGTCCTAGTCATCTTTCCCCAGGTGGTTGGCTTTATGCCTGTGTTTTCTGGAGAGACAAGAACGCAGAACACTGAGAGCAGTAAGGTGCCCGCAAGAAATGTGAGAAGTTCAGCCCTCAAAATCCTAGATCGCTGAAACACCTACACTTGCTTGGTGTGACTAGCCCTGGGAAGAAACAGGCCAGGAAATGACCTGTTTACTTGGTTACAAAGCTAAGGGATCACAGAACCTTTAAGTGGGGCAACCTGAGCATGATGTCAGAAACAGGGCTAGAATGTGCGTAAAATTCAGTGAACAGAATTTAATACATCACCCAACCTGGAGAAAGGTTTTGTGCCCGACCTGAGGAACCTCAGGTGAGGTAGAGATGAGCATTCATCCTCCAGACCCTGGTCAGGAAGAGGGTCTGAGGCCTGGAACATTGTCCCCGTGGGCAGTTGGGCTTCATTCGAGATTTCCCAGCTAACTCCCTTGCCTCTGAATTCACAGCCAACCAAAGGCGAGGGAATGGCTTGACTGACAGCATGAACATTCTGCTCTGCTGGACATTTGGGTTTCTCTTTGCTATGATGCTAGCAGAGAAGCCAGGCTTTCTTCTCCATTGTGACAGGCCCATGGATATTCTACTTTAAGTTTCTACAGAGTTCAAATTCTTAGATCTGTACGATTTTCTAGCACTTCTCTGTTTTTAGGCCCTTTTCTAAATATTATCTGGCACTCAACTGAAATGCCTTTTTAAAATTTGTGTCGAACTGCCTTGTCATGAGAAAGGGACTCTTGTCTCTTGTTGCAGGGCTCTCAGCTCTTACCTCCCTGCTGCTAAACCGTGTGCTGTTTCTTGACAGCACTGAAGAAATGACTACCGTGAACTTCCAGTGAACCCCTGAGCTTTTTTTTTTTTCACTTTTTTAATATATATAATTTACAGAAAAATACACATATCTTAATTATATAGCTAAATGAATTATTCACCTACTTTTGACCCCATCTTCCACCCTTCTCCCTGTAACCTAAGACTTTGCTTGACTATGCTGTCCTTTGCTACAGGCCTGGCCTGTGTATCCTAAGCTGCTCCTCGCTCATTCCAGTTAGTCCTCATTAGGCTTTTATCCCC